GGAGGAAGCAGAAACCATGAAGGAATTGACCCGTCTAAAGAAGAAGTATTCAACCCACTTTGTGAAGGTATCACTTCTTGTCCGCTTAAGTTGATTAGGCTCCGTGGTCCCGAAGTCCCACCCCTATATCCTCCCACCGCACTTGGGTCTAAAATAAATTATCCCGTCCGCACTGCCCATTTGTCAACCCCACGCTCAACACACCCATGCCTCCACCTCAACTTTTGTCGCCACCTCCTCCTTGTGTTGGAGGTGGACACCTCGCCATGTTCCACCCTTGAACAGGCACGCTCCCACACCTCACATGATCCCGCCCTCGTTCATCAAATCCCTAAACCCCCACCCTGTCCTTGCTGTCCGTCCAGCTCACACACATACCCTCCCCATACCCCGCCCATCCTAGTTCCTGGCACACAATCCCACCCTGGTCGTTCTTCTCCCTATTCTTCATCCAAATCCCCAAGGCGCCCTCTTTTCCGTTCTGCGTGCCTCCCCTTGCGGTCAGTCATTGCTGTGGGATTGGGAGTTCTCCAAAACCAAGTGGGGCAACACGTACCTCGCCCAAACACCTGACATCATGCACATCATCGAGGCAGGGCTTTGGCTTCATGCAATGAGGTGCCTCGTGAAGAAGTTGAAACCGTCAGAGCGAAAAATACTTCTCGAGTAAGTTTCCCTTTTCCCCCGGTGGGGCGAGAGTCATACGTGCAAGGGAAAGGGGCATCGAGGGGGAACCAGAGGGATAGAGAGGGGAAGAGGGGTAGCGAGAGGGAAGGTTGCACTAAGAGAGAGGGATATTGGGGCAGAGAGTGGGGAAGATGGTCAGAGAGGTGTATGTTGTGGCTGACTGAGGGGAGGACGGGGAGGTGGATGGAAGGGGGGCAGCTATAAACGACTACGGGGCAGAGAGAAGGTAGGAGGTGCAGAGAGAAGTGATTGCGAGCCAGAGTGAGAGCACGCGGCGAGTGAAGTGGGAACTAGGGACGGAGAGAGGTAAGGAGGGGAATGGAGGGGGACAGTGGGGCAGAGAGAGTTAGGGAGGGCGGGGCAGAGATAGGGAATGCGGGGTCGAGAGAGGGTAGGAGGGGCAGAGAGAGGGACGTTGGGGTATCGAGCGGGAATGGCGGAATACGGCGCCTGAGAAAGTAAGCGGCAAAGGAGGAATGGCAGGTAGAGAGAGGGAAAGAGACAGAGCTAAGGCGGTACTGCGGGGTTGAGAGGGAACGATACGCACATAAGGAGGAATGGAGGGAAGAGTGAGGGAATTTGTAGCAGCGTTGGAGGAATGCGGGGTGGAGAGGGGGGAAGTGGTGCAGAAAGAGGGAATTTGGGACAGAGACGTTGAGGGAGGGGCTGAAAGGTGGAAGGAGGCGCTGCGAGCAGGAAGGTGGGGCTGCTAGCGGGAAGGAGGGGCATAGGAGGGGGGGGGGGGGGGGGGGGGGGGGAGGTCGCGTGAGGTGAACGCGGGATTCAGAATAGTGTATTCGGGGCATAGGGACAACATGGGGGTAATGTAGGGGTAAATTTGGGCAGAGAGTAAGGGAGATTGCGGCTGGGAGAGGGCAAGTGGGGCAGAGTGAGGAAATTGGGGGCATGGAGAAAGAAATTGGGACCGAGGAAGGGAAATTGGGGCAGAAAGAGAGAGAACGAGGGGCGGAGAGAGGTGATCATGGGGCAGAGCGAGGGAACAAGGGGCAGAGAGAGGAATGATGAGGCATAGAGGCTGGGGGAGTGGGGCAGAGGACGGAAAGGGATTCACTGAGAGAGAGGCAGCGGGGAGATGAGGTGCGATCTGATGCACCTAACTACAAGACCACCCCGCTAGCCCCACCCCTCCCCCGCCCCCCTCCCTAACCCACCCCACTGGCCCCACAGCCCCTAAACCGACACCCTTATTGCATCCCGGAAGTGCAGCCGCTACAAGATTGTCAAGGCAGCGACTCCGGCGTCTTTGCTGAGACTCCCATCCGCATGGGCGTACTTCACCACGACGGCCTGCTTCTCAGCGTCGGAGCACCGTGCCATGATGCAAGTGCTGCCCCTCATCATCGACCTCCCCAAGCGCGCCGATATTCGACATGCCATCACGATCATGTCGGACTGGTACAAGGAGTTTATCCGGGCTGAGTATCACACCGATGCCACGCTTGAGCGCATGGAGGAGGTCTCCTGCGAGTAAGTCTAGCGTGAATGGGTGTGGGTGCCATGCACATAGGGAACAAGGGACAGTGAGATGGCTGAAGGGGTCGAGGGAGGGATTAAGAGGCAGTGTGTGGGAAATAGGGTGCATAGAACGGGGGAAGAAGGGAAAAGATAAGGAAAGGGGGGCAAAGCGAGGGAAAGAGGGGACGAGGGAGGGAAAGAGGGGACGAGGGAGGGAAAGAGGGGACGAGGGAGGGAAAGGGGACGAGGGAGGGAAAGAGGGGAGGGGGGGGGGGGGGAACGATAGGCTGTGGACTGTTCCGCATGCGCTGAAAAAGGGAAGGAGGGGCATAATGACGAGAGGAGGGGCTTAGAGTGGGGGAATGGAGTGGCAGAAACATGGAAGCTGAGTTGTGAGTGGGTGGGGGGGGGGGGGGAGATGAGAGGAGGGGGGAGGGTTTGAGAGAGGGTAGTAGTACATGAACCCGGGTATTGGGCATTGTCTGTTGTTTGTTGCTGAATTGTTGTTTATATGCGTACGCACGCTAAACCGATCCCCAACACCCAATGCCCCAATCCCGAACCTTTCAATCCACCCAAACACGTCCTATCCAGGATGGTCGATGCGCTTGTTCTAGCATTCGACAACCAGAAGTCGAAGTGGCTTATTATCAAGGTGCATCTTGTATCGCACCTCCCGCCGACGATCCGTGCACGGGGATTGCCACAGGAGTACTCGTCGAACCGGTACGAGCAGTCCCACAAGACAACAGTGAAGCGCCCTTCTCGCGGCACCAACTGGAAGGGTGTGGAGGATCGCATTGTGAAGAAGCATATCGAGCAAGCCGTTGTTCGACAGCTGTCTCGAGCCTCCGGCGGGGACAAAACATACGAGACAGCCATGAAGGAGGTGAGCCTGTGTACGACCTAAGGCCGATCTTGCCCACCAATGTTCCCCGCCTGCTCTTGCCGCATGAAACCCTCGATCACCTCGTGTTTTTGTTTAGACCCTGCCTGTTCCCTTCCTCCCGCTGCCCCCCTAGACATCCCTTCTAGCATCCACGTGCTCACCATCATGTCCACCCATGAAATGCCTCTCCCGCTGCCCCCCTTGACATCCCGTTTTGCATCTACATGCTCGCGTTCTTGTCCACCCATCGCTCCTTCCACTAGCTGCCACCCTTCACATTCCGTCTTGCCCCACATGCTTTCCCACTTATCCACCCATGCCCCTCCCCCGGCCCCCGTGGGACTATCCGTCGTTCAGCCCCCAATGCTCCCCTACTAATCCACCATATACCTTCGTGCTGCTAAACACGTCGCCCCCTCGGTTCCCCCCCCCCCCCCCCATCCTCCTCCATGTCCATCCCCGGCACTTCCCATTCCCTCCTGCCGTTTGTGTTTCCTTTGCCCTCCCTTGATCTACACTTGTCCGCCTATGCTCCCTCCTCTTGCTGCACCCTTTGACCTCTGGAACTGCCCCGCTATACTAACCGACTGGTCCCTAATCTTTGCTCCATCTCACTGCTGCCCCTGTTGTACTCAAGTGCTGCCCCTCTCCTGCTGCCCCCCATGTACACCATGCACCCATCACCCTCCTACCCAGGCTTGCACGGTTGGGCGTCGGGTGCTGACTAAGACACACAAGAAGTATAAAAGCGCTAGCTTACCTCTCGTTTCGTAGTTTGCCTCGCGCTCACTCAAGCTCGTTGCTGAAAGTATAAAAGTGCTAGCTTACCTCTCGTTTCGTAGTTTGCCTCGCGCTCACTCAAGCTCGTTGCTGAAAGTATAAAAGTGCTAGCTTACCTCTCGTTTCGTAGTTTGCCTCGCGCTCACTCAAGCTCGTTGCTGAAAGTATAAAAGTGCTAGCTTACCTCTCGTTTCGTAGTTCGTCGAGCTGCTCGCTCAGGTAAAGCAGCTAAACTCACTACTCACCGCTAAGGAGCAAAAACAGGGACTTCGTACTCTCGTTTATAGCCATACGCGAGCGTCACGACTTGCTTACCTTAGTCGAAAACCTATTGTGCGACGTGCTGGACGAAATTAGGATCGCGCCATTTCCGTGCAGCTGCTACTTCACGTTGCTGGAAAATTAGGTCGCCGAACCGCTCGCTCGTACCGGCCACGAACATCGAGTTTAGTTGCGTGGGTTGTGTTCGGGACCTTGCAGCACGCCACCAGCACGATATTTCACCTTCCGCAGCACGACCAGCTGTTCCGCGTCTTCCCTCCCTTTGGCAACTACACCGCCCCTCCCCACCTCCCAAATTTCCCGCCACCTCGCCGCGTCTGCATCCTCGCTTGCAGCTGACCCTACAGCATCCGCAACCTCGCTTCACGAGACCTCTCGCGCTACACCACCTAACAGCTACATTTCATTTTCCAGCTTCCTTCTTATGCTTCCTCACTTTCCACATTCACTCCACATGCCACGATCCTACTACCCAACAAAATGACAAGCCGCAAAAGGGGCCGTGGAACCCAAGACTCTGAACCCACTTCTCCTCGTCCGCCTGCCCGTTCGCGACAAACTCCTGCCTTTGCGACTCTTTCGACCTCCCCATCAAACCTTGCACCACCCCCTACTCCTAAGCCTAAACCATCTTCTGCTAATTCCCAGCAACCTTCGACAACACCAGCCCCGAAAATTGTATCGGAAAAACAAAAGGAGATTCTCCAGCACGTCCTGAAGGGCACCCTTCCTGATTCTCCGTCTTCAACACGGCCTAAAACCTCTCACTCTCAGCCCTCGACTTCTCGGGCCCATCCTTCATCCACCTCAACACCTCCTCCGACGACTACAGCGGATGCTCCTGATCCCACAGCCCTTGCCGACAACACGCACCCATTATCACACTATGAAACTGTTGCTTCACCTTCTCGAGATCTCCCTCCTCCTTCCCCTACCCCTCACTCTACGCAGCCATGCCCGCAACCCTGCCCGCCCTCATCAACCTCCGATAACCCACTACCTCCTAATTCTTGCCCCACATGTCGACGCACCTTTGCCAACCCAGGTTCGCTGGCCCGTCACCTTCCAGCCTGCTCTCGCAACACCGCCACACGTCAGCAAGCTGCTTGGCCTCCTCCTTCCCGCTCATCAACCCCAACCTCGGCGCCTGCAGCCGCAGATCGACCTGCAATTCCTCAAGCCACTTGGGAGGCCATTCCTTCCTGGGATTGGCCTTCCTTCTTCAGCCCAGCAGTCTCACCTGGCCCTATTCTCCGCCGAATCCCCTCCCGCATCTGACTCCTCATTCTCGATGCACTTCTCATTCCACTGCGCCGCCTTGCACAGCAGCCTTCTGACGTCGCTGCACACCTCATTCTCTTGGCATTTCCGCGTCTCTTGCTGCGCCTACCATCCGCCGCTGCTCCCACGCAGTCCCTTACCTCTTCATGTGCCTCCTTAGCGCGCCGCTTCATCAATGGTGACTGGCAGTCTCTTTTCAGTGAGGCCGTAGCTGCAGCCACTCCAACCGCCAGACCTCTACACATGGCATCGGCACGTTCTACGGCGCTGCAGGCTCGTCTCAACCGTGCGAAGCGGTTTGCGAAATGCGGGGATTGGTCGCGGTCACTGGCAGCACTGGAAGCTGGCGAGCTAGCTCCTCCATCATCAGAAACGGTTGCTGCCCTCGGCTCCAAGCACCCACCTGCTGCAGCAGAAATTCCTGACTGGGTACACAGCTTCACTCCTGCAGCTGCACCGCAGCTTACCGTCCCTGTTCTCCACGCCGCTCTACAGTCCGCCCCTCGTGGCACAGCTGTTGGTCCTTCTGGGTGGTTCATTGAGCACCTCAGGGACACGTTTCTCTCTCACCAGCAACATCTCCCTTCTCTCCTCCACGTATTCCAGAACTGGCTGCAGGGTGATCTTCCACCTGCAGTCAGGCCTTTCTACACCGCTTCGAACCTCGTGGCCCTACAGAAACCCCATGGTGGTGTACGTCCCATCGCCATTGGGGAAGTGCTACCACGCCTCCTTTCACGCTGCATCACTCTCCTTTTCAAGCAGCAAATGCGAGAGACATTCCTTCCTCACCTTCAATTTGGCGTAGCAGTTCCGGCCGGGATCGAGATTATGTCGCACGCAGTGTGCTCCGCCTTCTCCCTTCATCCTGACTGGGTGGTGCTTCAGCTGGACGTTGCAAACGCGTTCAACTCGTTCAATCGGGTTTCCATGTTTGAGGCATTAAGGCGCTCCCCATTCTCCAGTCTCATTCCCTTCTTCCGCCTATTCTACTCCACCCCTTCACCTCTCCACTACCGCAGCGGCCCCCTTCTCCACACATTCTAGTCAGTTTCTGGTGTTCGTCAAGACAACCCTTGTGGCCCTTTCCTTTACGCCCTAACACAACAGCTAGCCATCCAACCAACCCAGCAGCATTCTGCCTCAATTTTCATTACCTCATACGCAGATGATACCTACTTGGTCGGCCCTCCTTTAGACGTCTTTGCCGCATACACTGACCTTACCTCCCGCCTTCTCTCTCTCGGCCTTACTGTCCAACCCTCTAAGTGCTCTCTATGAGCCCCTATGGACCTGCCCGAACACTGCATTCCGCCCCCGGGTATTTCCGTCGCTGCAAACGGTCTCACTGTCGTTGGCGTTCCTACCGGCTCCGACGGTTACATCATCTCTACAGTTCGTGACAAGCTCGATTTTTTCACTACCTCCCTCCCTTTACTACATCAACTGCAGGATCCACCGATTGCCTCACGGATCCTTTCCTTATGCATCACTGCCCGGCCTTCTTTCCTCCTCTGAACTGTCGCACCTTTTCCCGAAATCCAAGAGCTACTCTCTTCATGGGACAGCACCATTTTCAGCCACTTCTCTCAGCTCCTGGGCCCCGAGTACTGGAATCCCACCTCTGAACACTCCACATCGGCCCGCCTCCAAGCCTCACTCCCTATCCGCTTAGGTGGCTTCGGCATTCGCAGCTCTGCATCCATCGCCCCCCTCAGTTACCTTTGCAGCTGGGCGCAGGCAGTTTTGACCCTATCCACCCACTTCATCACTGATGGTGCTCCTCTTTTCCGCCCTTACGTCACCACGGACTCCATTAACCTCCTCGACCCTTCAATCTCATCTACCATGACCATACTTCCCCAAGACATTCGTGATCGCTTCCCATCATGGCCTGTGCTTCAATCGGGCTACCCTCCTAAACTCTTTACTCACCTCTCCCAACACCTCGAAGCCGATTTGCTGGAGAAGGTTCGAGCCACAGTAACGCCCCCGCTTTGCCTTGCTCATCTAACCTCTTTGCAAGGCCCGCATGCAGGTGACTGGCTCACTGTGGCTCCATCCTCCCTGCACATGCAGCTTTCAGAGACCGAGTGGCGCATTGCAGCAGCTATCCGCTTAGGCCTTCCTCTTCCTCACCTTTCATCTTCACTCACCTGCACCTGCAACTCCCCGTTCACTGATCCTTCCATCCATTCTCATGTCCTTCGCTGCCCTAGCAACAACGAGCCTACAAAGGTGCACGACGCAATCAAACGAGAAGTTCATCGCATTGCCTTGGAGCTTGGGTTCTCTGCGCAGATGGAAGACCAGCATCTTCTGCCTGGCCGCCGCACAGACATCACATGCCGCGACATTAGCTATGGTACCACCTGGGCCTTAGATGTTTCTGTTGCTGATCCACAAAAGGGGTTTCCGCACTCCAACGCAGCTACGGTGATTGGTTCAGCAGCAGCCACTCGTGAAAGTGAGAAGACAACCCACCATGCTCCAGCACTTCATGACCGTCCGGACGTCAAACTGTTTCCCCTTGTCATCGAAACCTTCTGTTGCTTCGGCTCATCGTTCAACAACTTCCTTCGCCAATGCAGCCGAAAAGGGGCTTCACAACTCCGCGACTTGAGTGGTGCTACAGGTTCTCTTTCCCTGCTGTTTGAGACCAACTTCTACAAACGGATTTCTCTAGTCCATCAACGTGAGAAGGCTTGCACTGTTTGTCGTCGTGCACAAATTCGTTTTACCGAGGGCGTCAACCACGCACCACCCGAGGTGACTTCTCTTTCTGCGGCTGACTTTGCCTACTTTGGAGAGGACCACAGAAACATCTCAGAGGCCTATTTGTAGGCCTCACAATAGGATTAGCCTGCTTTCCATACACTAGGTCTCTGGATTTGCCTTGTATCCATTGTACATTTACTATAGAGTCAATAAAGAGGTACAATGTTTCAAGCCCAACCACTTACTGCCTACACATATGCGTCGCACACATTTTGCATATATACGACGCTCTCAAAACAGCCTGAAAATTGATGCCAGCTGCCCTGCCCCGCACCCAGTAGGACAGGTGCGGTCATCCACCCGTTGTCAGATCCTCTCAACAACCGATTGCTTGTTGAGTTACTTTTGAGCCTGCGCACGTTGCTTATTCGTATTAAAATATTAGTGATGATCCATCGTCCCTCTGAATCCCTCTTCCGCGCACAAAGCCCCACAAACTGCCGCATCGGCTCGCTACACATAGAATTGTGGAGGCAACTGCAGCCCCCTCTAGGGCTTTACTCTACTACTACGCCTATTGTGAAGAAATGAGGAATGGATAAACTAGGAAAGAGGTGGGTACAAGTAGGAAAACCTAGAAATGTTGTACCCTATAGTGTCTACCCCACTACAACCTAGATAGACCATAGCATATAAGTTTGACACACCCCCATAGGCAAAGTGGGGGAGAACAAGAGGTCACAAGACCAGTCAAGCAAAGAAAAGTAAGCTCAGGGTGGATCACAACGTCACCACACAGTCCGAGCACAAGAGCAAGGCCACAAGGCCAGTTCACATGCAAGATCATATATAAAGGTAAACAAGCAAGTGCAGGTATAGAAAGATCACAGTACAAGCAAGGTCAAGAAGTGAGCAAGTGAGGCCAAGTAGGCACAAGACCTAGCATCGTAAAGAAGCGCTGATGATCACAAGGTGGAAGTGCCTTGGTAAAGATATCAGCAGTGTTGGCCTCAGAGGCCACGTACGCAAGGCGTAGCTGACCACGCTGTTGTAGCTCACGAGTAAGGAAGTAGCAGAGAGCAATGTGCTTCGTTCTGTGCTCCAGTCTGTGCTCCCGACACAAGGCCAGCATGGCCTTGTTATCTACGTACAGAACTGGAGGAGAACGAGGCGGCTCTCCTAGGTCAGTCAGCAGGTAGGTGAGCCAGCGTAGCTCCTGTGCAGCCATGGCCCCCGCGTAGATCTCAGCCTCACAGCTGGAGCCGAGAACAGAAGACAAGCGAGTGGACCGCCACGAAACAGAGCCGGAACCAAGGCTGAAGGTGTAACCCTGTGACGACCGCTGCATAGCCTAATCGTCAGCCCAAGAAGCATCTGCGTGACCTGTGAGGACCACTCGACGTCGCCCTCCAAGCACTAGCCCCATGCCCGATGTACTGCACACGTAGCACAACACCCTCTTTGCTGCAGCCATGTGCTCTGGTCGGTGTCTCTCAGGAGCAACATAGCGTGCCAAGATGCTAAGAGGGTATGCAAGGTCAGGTCGTGTGCAGGTCATCAAGTACATGAGGCAACCAACAAGCTCTGGGTACAGGCCACTCGGCTCTACGGACTCATCCGAAGGCAGAGCTGAGAGCGAGTGGCGAGTAGACAGAGGAGTGGCGTGAGGCGAGGAGTACATGAAGTCGAAGCGCTAAAGGACCTGCTGCACCATGTGTGACTGAGTCAAAGTAATGGTGCGTTGTGCTCAGTCCCGGGTGATCTGCAAGCCAAGGTAGCTACGCAGTTCACCCAGGTCTGTGCACGTGTGTCTCTTCTGCAGCTCGGACTTCACGTGGGCGACTCCAGCAGTGTTAGCAGTGGCAAAGACCAAGTTGTCGACGTACACGAGGATGTAGAACGGCGGCAAAGATGAGTCGGTGCGCAGAAATAGCGACGGGCCGGCTGTAGAAGGAGCAAACCCAAGAGCCGCAAGTGTAGTCCTCAGTGTGTCGTGCCACTCACGGGGCGCCTGGCGGAGACCGTAGACTGGCCGCCGGAGGCTCCACTGGGCACCAGGAGGAAACGACCCAGTGAAGCCAGGTTGGCGGCGCAGCCAGATCTCCTCGTGCAGGCTGCCCTGCAGGAAAGCTGTGCTGAAGTCAAGAGAGTGAAGCTCGTAGTCGCGCTGAGCGGCTATGTGTAGCAGCACCCGAAGAGTGGTCATCTTCGGGGTGGAAGAGAAGGTCTGAAAGTAGTCAACTCCCTGCCGCTGACTGAAGCCTCGAGCCACGTAACGCGCCTTGAAGACAGGTGGAGAACCCGGCGGCCGCTTCACCCTGAAAATCCACATGCCACTGACGATGTTCGCCCCACGTGGGGGAACCTCATCGACGTATGTGCCTGTGGACTTCCATGAAGCCATCTCTGCGTCCATGGCTGACTGCCACTGAGAGGAGTAGGGACCCTCAATCGCCTCAGCGTACGATCGAGGAGTCGGGATGTCTGGTGCATTCGACTCTCCCTCAGGGGCGATCAGCGTGGACACGAGATGAGGCAAAGCAGCAGCAAAACACTGGAACTCCTCCTGCTTGTCCTCAAGGACGTCCGTGCTAAGAGCACACTCACCCCGGACGGCCGGAGGACAGACAGACTCAGACTCAGCAACAAGACTAGCAGCGTAGTCTAGACGACAGCGAGCAGCGAATTCGACAAGCTCAGCAACTAGGGCAGACGCAGCAGTGGACTCAAAGGAAGGGTCAGTGACAACAGTGGCCAGGAGACGCGTGACAGTAGGACTGGCAGCACGAAGAGAGTCAGACTACGGGTCAGCAAGAACAGGAAGAGAGGACTCTGGAGGAGACGGCAACGGGACACGCAGAGGAGCAGTGGAAGGACGCAGTGCCATTTGGTGTGTGCCTGGGACCGCAGAAGGACGCGGACGCGGAGCACGACTACTAGTGCGAGCAGCACGAACAGGCGACGCAGGACGAGACGCAGGCTCACGAGGCTCAGCAAGACCTCCAGTAGGACCAGTGTAAGGAGAAGGAGCAGGCAGGGGGGAGGCGGGCTGTAACTGTGACCGCGACTGGACAAGCTGTGGACACTCTAAGGGAGGAGCAGGACCAGCAGAGGGCGGGAGACCAAGAACCTGCTCAAAGAGCGGAACGAAGTACGGCCGCGGCCGCGCAGCGCCTCGAGAACCAGCAGGGACAGCACCAGTACTCCCAGTAGCACCTCCAGCTCCAACAGCGCCAACTCCAGCACCCTCAGACGCACCAGCGCCAATAGAACCACCGTCGCCAACACCCCCAACAGCTCCAGCTCCAGCACCTCCAGCAGCACCAACT